AGGAGAAATGCAGTTATGAAACATATCAGCCATGATCAAATGGCAGAGTAGGCTTGATAGGCCGAATGGCCTAATTCTGCTTCTATGTCCAGTGGTCTAAGTTTCAGTGACATCGTCACTAATTTGTCAGGCATATGGATTGGTCAGAACACTTTGTACAATCTCTTGCTCTTCCTCAAAACAATGCCATGTCATCTTTTGTGTCCACTTGAGAGGGAAGACCTGATTTAACATCTCACGCAAAAGTTATCTATTGTACTAACTATTAACATCACTGGGTTTCAACAATGGAACTCCATGTCATATGATAAGGAAGCTTTGTTTGTGCATCATTGGTGTTGCACTATAAAGGGATATAATAGGATTAACTTATTCAAGAAGTCAACAAACTATTCTTTCAGGGAAAGTATGTTTTGTAGTTCTAAAGAAAGAAAGCTTTGAGAGTATCCATCTCAAATTATCCATCTCATGTTGTATAAAACACCAATGAATGAATCTTGATTGAAAATAAACTGTACAGACACAATGCAAAACAAAGGCCGTCACTTCCGGCTTTTCAGAGATCAACAAAATCTCAGGCTCCAGCATCGGCAGTTTTTACCATCTCTAACAAAATCTGGCATTTTCCCAAGGAAAGAAGTGAAGGATTTGCCAAGCTGGAGAAACTTCCTACAAACACATTTAGCCTGTAATTAACCTTTGGTTCAAGCTATTTAGAGCACTTCCACACAAAGTGTAGCTGAACTGCAAATTTAAAGGAATAAGGCTATTTGTCACCTGGCATTACATAAGAACCAGGAGCAGGAGTGGACCATCCGGACCCTCGAGCCTGCTCCATCATTCAATAAGATCATGGCTAACCTTTTTGTGGGCTCAGCACCACTTACCCGCCCACTCATCATAACCCTTACTCCCTTTACTCTTCAAAAATCTATCTTTGCCTTAAAAACTTTCAATGAGGAAGCCTCAACTGCTTCGCTGGGCAGGGATATCCACAGATTCACAACCCTTTGGGTGAAGAAGTTCCTCCTGACCTCAGTCCTAACTCAGCTCCCCTTTATTTTGAGGCTATGACCCTGAGTTCTCGTTTCACCTGCCAGTGGAAACTAAATCCCTGCTTCTATTTTATCTATTCCCTTCATAATTGTATATGTTTCTATTAGATTCCCCCCTCTTTCTTCTAAATTCTAATGAGTACAGTCCCACTTGACTCAATCTATCCTCTTAAGCCAACCTTCTCAACTCCAGAATCAACCAAGTGAACCTCCTCTGCAACCCCTCCAGTGCCAATACATCCTTTCTCAAGTAAGGAGACCAAAACTGTACACAGTACTCTAGGTGTGGCCTCACCAGAACCCTATACAGCTGCAGCATAACCTCCCTGTTTTTAAACTCAATCCCTCTAGCAATGAAGGACAAATGTCCATTTACCTTCTTAATTACATGCTGCAACTGCAAACCATTTTTTTGTGATTCATGCACAAGGACACCCAGGTCCCTCTGCACAGCAGCATGCTGCAACTTTTCACCATTTAAATAACAGCTCATTTTTCTGCTATCTTCTGAATGGCCTCACATTTGCCAATATTGTACTCCATCTGCCAGACCCTTGCTTACTCCTTTAATCTATCTATAGCTCCCTGTATATTTTCAGTGTCCTCTGCACTCTTTGCTCCACCTTTGCTCCATTTTAGTGTCATCTGTGAACTTTGACTCACTACGCTTGGTCCCCAACTCCAAATCATCTATGTAAATTGTACACAATTGCAGTGCTAATACTGATCCCTGAGGCACACCACTATCCACTGATCACCGACCAGAAAAATACCCATTTATCCCCACTCTTTGCCTTCTGTTCTTTAACCAATCTTCAGTATCCTCCAGTCCCCAAAACAGCCAGAAGTAATGTCACAGCAAAAGTGTTAATGTTGCATAACAGTTATTTTTATAATTGTTGTCTTCCTCTATTATATATGCCACAGAAACAGAAAATGGGAAGAGGAATAGGTCATTTGGCCCTTTGAGCTTGCTCCCCCATTAAATATGATTATGGCTGATCACCCATCTCAGTCCCCTGTTACTGCTTACGCTCCATACCCTTCGATCCCTAACAGTGATATCTAACTCCTTCTTGAAAATATTTAATGTTTTGGCCTCAGCCACTTTCTGTTGTCGTGAATTCCACAGGCTCCCCCCTTCTCTGGGTAAAGGAATTTCTCCTCATCTCAGTACGTATATTGTTTTATGGATTTATTCCTCCTAAATACACCACAATGTGTACAAGTTGAAAGCTGCATGCTTTCAATATGCCCAAAACGTACCTTTATTATTGGAAATGTTTATGTAAGCAAAAAACACAATTCATTGGTGGCACCATTGAGAGGAGATGAAGGAACTGTATCACTCAAATTGTTCCGGCATGAGTTCACTCCATTCTGTCTCAAACATTGGTGGGAGTTACTTTTAGACTCCCTAATAATAATTGCAGTGTACAGAAGAGCATACAGCAGGAAACGTGAGGAACATGTAATACTATAACTTTGAGGGACCTTCTTCTTTATTCATTTGTGGGACGTGGGCGTCGCTGACTGTGCCAGCATTTCTTGCCCATCCCTAGTTGCCCTTTGAGAAGGCAGGGGTCAGCTGCCTTCTTGAACCGCTGCAGTCCACCTGCCATGGGCTGACCCACAATTCCATTAGGGAGGGAATTCCAGGGTTTTGACCCAGTAACAGGGAAGGAACGGCGATATATTTCCAAATCAGGATGGTGAGTGGCTTGGAGGGGAACTTGCAGGGGGTAGTGTTCCCATGCATCTACCCTTGTCCTTCTACATGGAAGTGGTCATGGGTTTGGAAGGTACTGTCTCAGGATCTTTGGTGACTTTCCACAGTGCACCTTGGACAACATTACCTTTGGCAATTACATTGCCTTTTACATTAAGCAAACCAAATTTTCAGTGATAGTGAGAAGGTCAACTTTATGAAGTGTGGGCAGGTTGGCTGCTATTATGCAATGAGAAAGACTCAAG